ATTTTTTAGTTTAGATTTTTTTGTGATGTTACTAACGCCTCTCGGAGTCCCACGCAGCATATTTAGACACTAGATTTGCATATTATTAGGCTTATTTTACTGTAGTATGAATTTGGAACAGATGTAATGAAGGCATGTACCCCTAGCGTTTTATGAGTTAGATTCTGCCCTGCTGTCCTAAAAGAAAATAATTTCGGAACGTTTTTTCGTGTTGGCGAAGGTTGGTCGTAAATTCGTCGCACTATCACCAGATATTGCGCCGCTTGTCTCGTTATTTCCACTCTTCATCCGGTTATTTTAGTTAAGAGCGCGGCTGTTTATAAGCACCACGTCCTGATGGCGTAGCAGCGCCCTACACGCATTCTGAACCTCTTCACAGAAAGAGGCACGTAGACGAAATTACTACCGGTCTTGGAGGAAGAGCTTTAGATGTCCTATACGTCGGCGAACTTCTACCAAACTGAAATCTCATGGGTCTTACGTTGCATAATAGTGATATCTAGAATTTTTACCATTTGTATATGGGCATGGAACTTTGTCTGTAACCCTAGGGTACGAACCTGGGTTGAGGGTTTAAAAATTCGGTCCGGTTGATCCTGTGGACGTTAGGTGTCGATGCGGTTGGTGCCAGAAGTACTGATTTATTCAAAAAACAAACCCTTTCATTTACAAATTTAAGCTGTGTTATCAGACAATATCCGACCATATCCGACCGACTTTCGGTTCCATTTGTTTAGGTTAGATAATCAGAACTCCACTGTAATTTGGGAAGTTATATCGTCAGATCAACTGTAATGAAGACGTGGTGTAGGCTTGCTCGTTTCCTTCATGATAGAGGCAGCAAGGACCTCTGAAACATTGGTAAACTTCTACTAAACTACGCAGTTCTACAACCCGGAAGATATCCATCTTTTAGTTCACCCTTGCTGCTAGGCCGCTGATCATGCAGGTTGCGCAAAACCTGTCCAGGTACGAACGTGGCGTATTCACGATCAGAACCTGTACTCACTTTCAGAAATTTAATTGCATTTATCAATGCCTATCCTGACAACGAAGTCACAGTTTCAAGCTGTTATTACCGTGTTTGCTCCCAAGCTGTAGTCTCTAGCACAAGCGATGCTGAGCGCATTGGCCTACGCTTGAGTTTACTACTGATTATTTGCAAGCTACGTAAGCTCGTAGTAGTCTCCCTGCTGCCACTTATCTCCTGCATTAATCGTTTCGCTTTGTTTTCTTTCTGTAATCAATAGATTTACGTTTTTATGTTCTTTGTCGTCTACTCCGGAGGTGTGTTTCCATATCGGTAATTGGGGCGGGGGGAGTGTCTTCGTCAAGGTTCAGACTTCAAGAGACGGAGAACAGTATCCCAGATTAAATTTTTATATCTTACGTCAAGCCATTGATTGATCTATGGATTAATTAATCAGTTCTTGATCCATAGGTTTGTTTTGCATTGAATGGCAGTGTAATAATGTGATAATGATGGATTCGGAACAAACTTTAACTTTGAATGTTTTAATATACGACAGTATTTATGTGAAAGGATTGAGGAGAACCACGAAGGAACTTAGGACATCTGCCCCATATACCGAGGCTTCAACCCGGAATTTACCTATACAGAGCAAGAATACTGTCCTATAACTGCCCTTTCGATTTGCTTCCAGTAAATAATATGGAAGTACCATCAAACAAGATACTATTTCAAGTGGAAGGTGGCGCAACATGTCAGCAGGGGTGTGTATGTGCCGTTTATGGCTGTTTCATGAGTCGAGTCGTATGTATACTGATTGCAAGAACACTGGAGTGAGGAAGTCTTAATGCATTTTATTGTTGGAAACTTTGCCGGGAAGATAATCGTATGTTTCTAATTTGTGATCATATCTTGTAAAATCGTTTGTTACTTTAAATAAGATATTTGTGAGAAAGTGTAACATAACATGGTGACCATTCGAAGTATTTTGATGTGTTTATAAATAAAAAAAACATGTTTTCGTGAAATTTGTTTTGCTGCATGTTACAAACACGTCTAGGCCGATTTGATAACATGGTTGGAAATGAGAGCTACAGCGTATAATTTAATAATAGCGAGTGCTTTTTTAACTTGCTTGTTGTCAAGCATCGCTATAATGGTATGACAACCAGTGGGTCTTACTCGAGTAACAAATATGAAAGTTCGTATTGAATTCTACTGAATTGATTTGACCTATTAATGTTATACCTGGTTCAGTCTGAGCCGGTCACTATAAATTAGCTTAAAAATGTGTAACTTTATGTCAAATTCCAGTCGTTGGGCGTAGTATTATGCGGAGGTTAAGAATGGGATTCAATAACCACTTTGTATGCAGACGAGGGGACTTAGCACGTTAGTATTGCGCAACTAGTTTACGGAAGCAACTCAAGGTCCCCGTGACGTCAGCCTTTATTCAAATACCGAGACCTCTTCGTGACAATTATGTACTCATATACATGCCATCAATTGTTATCAAAAGAAGATATGTCATCGTATTATTGCTCTGCTAAAATGTCGATCTGGTCATAAGTTTGCAAACCTGACTATACAAATGAGCAAAGGAGAAATAAGCTTTACCTTACGGGGGTGGAAGTGAATTTGCATCCTAAGTACACAAAGCATCGCTGTCTTATCAAGTTACATATTTCGGCTCCAGCTGCCAAGGCCACGAGAATCATGCATATTGCTGCAATCAAACACGTGTCAAACCAACCAATCAAAAGGCTAAGGGCGGAGTCCTGCGCAAGCGCAAGACATCGTCCCTTACACCATTCCTGCGTAAGAAACGCATTGCTGGAAATTGTAAACAGTGTCTTAAAACTATAACAGGTACGTGCCTACGCTGACGGGAATTCGTCGTGGTGGAAGGCCTCGACTTTTCAACCTAGGGGCTGTTGCTACTGGTGGGACATTACTCCACCTGAAACTTGGTTGGATGTCTCTCTGGGATTTTAAACCAGAAGTGTTAGGATAACTTTGGCTGATGACCTCTACGACCTGGGGGGGGGAGTCACTCCAGCTGAAGGCCTTATCAAGAATCATGGCTTGGGGAAGGCGAGCTGTGCTCCTTTTGAATTATACCCTGGCACTTGCCCCCCTTTTTTGTCATCAATCCTGGGATTGGTTTGCAGCCCCATTACGGGGCTGTTACTTGCGAAGATACCACGGTGGTTTCGCCTTGCCTTCCGTGGCCAGTCTTTATCCATCAGACTGGAAGAGAAAGGACGCGGACAAACATCAATGCCTTGAGTGGGACTCGAACCCATGGTTGCAGCAGTCAGGCGCACGAGGTCCATGCCTCAGACCGCGTGGCCACTGCGGCCGGCGCACTTGCCTTACAACTGAGGAAAATCACGGAAAACTTCAGTTAGTGCGACTGAGTAGTTAGACCACTCGTTGCGCCGCCTTTTCAGTGACAGCCTCGGCTGGCGCAAACACGTGTTACTGCATGCGAGAGTTAAGTCCTTCTGGCTTGTTGGCCCGGTAGGCAGGTGATCTGTGGATGCGTATCGCTCCTGTTCCTGTGTGGGGAACATTTGACTTTAGTACAAAGATATCCTTTATATTTCTCACACCAGTTTTGCCTTCCGCTGTTTGCAGTATCGTGGCTTGTTTTGTTATTTATGTTTTATAACTTGGTGTTTTAAACTACTTCCAGTAAAGTTTGCATCAAATAAGAACAAACACGAGTTTTCTAGGTATTCTAGTAGTGCAGCACGTGCCTTACTTGCCCACCCCTTGTCCCGGCTTTGCACACACGTCTATATATCGATACATCTTGACCCATTCCTATTTCCAAATACGTACCGAAAGAAAAAAAGAAAATATAGCTTACAGGTGTGAGCCCCTTGTTCAAAAATAGACTGTCTCATTCAGTTGTAAATAACCACTGAAGTAGATGAAGCGTCATTAACTCTTTCGGTGCTTAAGTTATGGCAACTTGGGAATTCAGGTTTTGAAAAGATACGAAGTGTTATCCTGTCAAGCGACAGTGGAAGTATTGTGTTTTGACTGACATGTTACACACTAAAGATATTCATCCAGAAGAGTGTGTTTCAAGTCATGTATATCTTTCTTGGAAAGGCGGGGTTTGAATTGAGAAACCGCAGAGAGAAAACAAAGGTTCAGATTAAGAAATAAAGTGATACCTCATGTACTTCTTCAGAACCAAGCTCTTTAGACCAAGAAGGAATGTGGAGACTGTGATGTGGGTGGTGGCTATCTGCATGCGCAATATACCTGCTGATTCTCTTGAGAATTTGAGAGTATTAGTAAATTGAAATATAATTTGCTGTGGGAAGATTATCTCTACGTCACAGAGCATAGGCCATTTGTCGCCGGCTTCTTACCGCGGAGGGATATTTTCAGGGTGGTTACAGTAGGGCACCGCTTATATGGCG